TCTGTCTCTGTCTCTCTCAAAAACAAATAAACATTAAAAAAAGTTTTTTAAAAAAGTGGGGGTAGGACTGGACAGGGAGTTTGGGAAAAGGGTAACTTAAACTTTTTGATTTATATCCTTCTGCATTAAATTTTTTAATTTTTTAATTTTTTTTTTTTGAGAGAGAAAGACACAGCATGAGTGGGGGAGGGGCAGAGAGGGAGACACAGAATCCAAAGCAGGCTCCAGGCACAGAGCCCAACACAGGGCTTGAACTCACAAACAGCAAGATCATGACCTGAGCCAAAGTCGGATGCTTAACTGACTGAGCTACGCAGGTGCCCCTCCCCCAAATTTTTTAATGTTTATTTATTTTTGAGTGGGGGGGGAGAGAGAGAGAGAGAGAGAATGAGCAGGGGAAGGGCAGAGAGAGAGGCAGACAGAGAATCCAAAGCAGGCTCCAAGCTCCAGGCTCTAACCTGTCAGCACAGAGTCTGATGCAGGGCTCGAACTCACCAACTGTGAGATCATGACTTGAACTGAAGTTGGATGTTTAACTGAATGAGCCACCCAGGCACCCCTCCTCCTGCATTTTTTATATAAGAATGTTTCCATATATTACTTGTGTTATTTAATAGAAGAGGGGAGAAGGCATTCTGAAATAGAAAAGACTAATGTGAGAAAAGTTCTGCAGGTAAGGCAAATGTGGGGGTCAGTAGCAGAAAACTATGTCAAAGTGGTGCATTAGGGGATGGTTCCACCAGTGATGTTCAGGATGGACTAGAGAAGGAAGTGCCTGGAGCTATTGCTGTATTTTAGACATGAGAGATTGAGCACCTGGCTTAGTGATTGAGCCTGGCTTAGGCTGGCAATGCTGGTAAAGAGTATAAGTAACATTTCAAAGGAAGTATCAACAGAAACTAGTGTATGGTGTCACTGAAGCATCTCATGGATTAGGTAAATGGCTTTTTAGTAACACACAAAGACCAAAGTCCTTCCCACACAGCATGCTAATTGTTCTTTAAGGAATCAGATATGGATAATCAGTGATAAGGAAAACAATAGGTCATATGATTTTTTTTAGCACTTGAAAGCAAGAAACAAAATGTATATGAAGAATTAGAAGTTACTACATACCACCACCCCAACAACTATGTAAATCAATTACCTGAGAAGCAATAGATCTAGCTGTTTTACTGTTGTCTCCAGTCATCAGAACTACTTCTAAGCCCATGGATTTCAAAATATGGACAGCCAATTCTGCTTCAGGCTTCACTGTATCAGCAATAGCAATCAAGCCACACAGCTCATCTAATAAAGGAGCACCAGAAAATAAGAGAGTTTGGAATATGGTGAAAGCATAATAATATTCTAACTTAAAATTTGAGAAAGAAATTAATTTTGTTAAGTAAAATTGTTCAGGGCTTAGCTTAACTCAAAATGTCTCCAAGCCCACACAGACTGTATTCCACCAAACTTGCAACAAACTTCCATATTTAGGTGTGAAAATTTCAGAGTGACATAGGGATTATTAATGAAGGTAGTAATATGAAATGAAAGTAGAATAGAAAATGAAAAGAGAGACCTTATTGGATACTAAAAGACTCTTTCTTTCCTTTGAGAAGTACTGGCCAATAGCCCCCAAACACTTTAGTTCATTTAAAGGCAAATGAAACTGAAAACTAATACTTTTTTTTTCTTTTTAAGGTGAAAGGGGAGAATTGAGACAAACTGCCATTTTATAACTGGGGGAAGGAAATCACTGCAAGTAATTATTTTATTTTATTTATTTTATTTTCTTTTAAAAACAAAAGTAAATAGTATTTTATGCTTCTTCCTAGACCTAGTTAAGGTCATAGTTAAGATACTGCCTTCATACTTAGCAAGGATTATAAATGTTGACTAATTAATCTTACAGCTAGAAATTTTCCTTAAGAAATAATTTAACAAAAGAAAGCACCTAAAACCTCAAAGATGTTCATCGTAGTGTTATGTATAATAACGAAATATTAGGAATAGCTTAAATTTCCAACAAGGGAATGATTTAATTATAGTATATAATAAATTATGCAGAATTAAAATTGGAAAATATTTATGAATACAGCAAATGAAAAAGAAAAACAGTATGTGTACAAGGAATTTTAACTTTTATTCAACTTTATTGAGGTAAAATATATATGCAAAATAACCTATTTAAAAATGGTATATATGTACTAATGTTATAATTCTGTACATATATATTACACACACACACACACACACACACACACACCAAAAACCAGAAATGGAATACATGCAATTAAAATGGACACTGAGTTAGGATGATAAGATTATAGATATTATTGTATTTTGCTATTACTCTAATGCTATGTTATTTTTAGGTCTTAAAAAATCCTTGAGGGCGCCTGGGTGGCGCAGTCGGTTAAGCGTCCGACT